CAAGCACGTGTGGGATGTATGCTGTCGTTGTCGTTGTTGTTATTGTTGCTGTTGTGGATGTTGTTGCTTTTGTTGTGGATGTGGTTGAGGATGTGGTTGTGGTTGTTGTTGTTGAGTATGAGATTATTATTATTATTGTTGTTGTTGTTGAGTTGAGGATTATTATTATTAATGTTGTTGTTGTTGATGATGATGGCATGGTTTTTTTGTTAATGTTGTTGTTGTTATTGTTGTTGGTATGGCTGTTAATATTGTTGTTGTTATTGTTGTTATTGTTGTTGTTGGCATGGTTGATGTTGTTGTTGTTGTTTGTTGATGGGGATTAAGAAAATAATGCAAGCGCTCAATGTGATGCGAGTCTGTCCATGCAGCTACTTAGGTTGTTGTTGCTGTCGTTGTTGTTGTTCTCGTTGCTGCTGTTGTTGTTGCAGCTGTTGTTGTTGCAGCTGTTGTTGTTGCAGCTGTTGTTGTTGTTGTTGTGGATACCGTCTAAACATCATCATCCTCACAAATCATCAACATCATCACAAAAATTACAGCAACATCATCACAAAAATTACAACAACATCATTGCAACAATTACAGCGACATGATCGCAACAATTACAACGACATTATTACAACAATTACAACAACACCATCTTTACCACAACAAGCCCACCAATCTCATCACCAGTTTTCTGATTATTCGTAAATTAAAGATGAGCAGCCATTGGAACGTTTTTAACAGCAACTCAACACCTAACACACACACACACAGACACACACACACAAACACACACAGAGATAAACACATCTACACGCATTCATACATATATGCACATACACGAACACTGTATGTATACATAGACACACACGCACATATATATATACACAGACACACACTCACATACAAACTCAAACACGTAAACAAACATAAACATGCCTTTACACACACACACAGAAAAACAATGACGCACATACACACGTACAGGTACACACAACATTATATGAAGAACATGGAAGAAAATAGAAATAAAGAAACATACATTGCAAATCAACACAACCATTGCTTATCTTTGAAGCACACCAGTTGTTTTGTATTGTATTGTTTTGTATATGTTGTGAATTGTATTGCAATGTATTTATTGTATGCAAACAACTGTATTGTATATGTACAATTGAATTATATGTTTAAAATTGTATTGTATATGCACAATAGTAATGTAATGTTTATGAGCAATTGTATTCTATACGTTGTAATTTGTAGTGTAAATCATTTTCATTATGTGAATTGTATTTATTGTATGTGTTGTTGAATATATAAATACAATTGTATTGTATGCCGTAATTTGGAATTACATATGTATTATGTATGTGTGATTGTGTTGTTGCGTATGTTGTAAAAATTAAAGATGGACTTCCCAGATTTGACTTCGGCTATTTAAAAAGTCGAATAGTCAAATAATCAGTTAGTCGAATAGTCTAATAGTCAGTTAGTCGAATAGTCAAACAAATAGTCGAATAGTCGATTAGTCGAATAGTTCAATTTCAGTTTAAGCCATCGATTGTTGATATTTCAAAACGGTACATGTTGATAGTTGTTAGCGAAAATTTATTTTCGCAACCATAGCTCTTAAGACATCTATGAATTTGGGCAATAGATGGAATATACCTCGACAGTCGGATAGACCTGAATCACCAACTGTGAATGATGATTTGAAATCTTATAATTTGCTTTGTATTAATTAGGATGAATGGTAACTATAAATACCTATTGTATGGTATAACTTGTTGTATACTAAACAAAATTTTGTTTTTTTGTTCATGTGTAATGATGTATTCTGTTCTCTGAATACCGGTGTATTTGTTTGTATTTTTATGTTTTGGTATTTATCTTTTTATGTCTTTTGTATCGGCATGTTTTTTTGTATTTTTTTGTATCCGTTTCTATGTTTTCGTTTTTGTTTGTATGTTTTTGTATTCGTTTGTATGTTTTTGTATTCGTTTGTATGTTTTTGTATTCGTTTGTATGTTTTTGTATTCGTTTGTATGTTTTTGTATACGTTTGTATTCCTTCGTACGCTTGTGTGTACGTGCCTGGCTGCGATAATATGCGTTAACTCATCAATGCTAATTCTCTCCGCTTATCTTCCTCCTTTTTCCACCGGCGATATTTTGCTCTCCATGTGCAACTTGTGTGTGCATGTGTGTGTGTGTGCGTGCGTGTCTGCATGTGTGTACTACGGATGGGTGGACATACACATTTACACACCACACACACACTCACTCTCTTTCTTTCTTACTCTCTCTCTCTCTCTCTCTTTCTCTCTCTCTCTCTCTCTTTCTCACGCGCGCAAACACTTATAGGGGAGACTGGGGTCGAATGGACCAGGTACCGAAAGGACCTTCGAAATTAAAAATAGTAAACATGCGCTAACATTTTTTTAAAATTTAAATTCATATACGTCTCTTGGCTTTCTATAACCAGATGTAAATTTTATTAAATGTTTTTAGTAGCCGATTTAACTGTTTCACTTTTCCTTTTTTTGCGAGAAAAAGTGAAATATTCGTCTGTTTCTTTTTGAGTGTTTTAGAAAAATTTCGAGCGGTATGTTTTTGTTTTTTTGTCAGGTTCTATAAAATAATGCTTTCTGAACACGATAGTGTTGATTTGACACCTTTATCCTTTTTAATTTATTTGGCATGTCCGTTTTAGTGTCCAACTACCATGTGGTACAGGATGGACCAGCTTTGTGTGTACAGAATGAACCACTCTAATAAATACTAATACTTATATAAAGAATGATACCCTGGTCACAGTGGTTTATTAGTAATTGGAATTGAATCCATATCTAACTAAATATCAATTACTTTTGTAATTTCAATTTTAATAATTATTAATTATGAATTTTTAATTTAAAAATTAAAAAGTTCTAGAATATCTTTTGCTCCAATTTTCAATTTTAATAAAAAAATTATTGGAGATTGTGATAGTAATAATGTTTTTATTAATATTAGGAAATTTAAGTAAAATGATATTAAATAATTTTTTAATACAAGACCAAAAGGAGGATGAGGTCAAGAGCATTAAACGCCAAAAAAGGTGGATGGAATGAAGAAAACATGTCTCAGGCTTTGGACGACGTCTTGAATTGCAAAATGTCTGAAAGAAAAGCTTCTCAGGTTTATAATATAAAACGTTCCACATTAAAAAGAAAGATTAAGGAAATAAAAGAAAAGCCTGGTTTGTCAAGTTCAGTTAAAGAAGAGCTTTGCGTGCAGCAAACTCGTGAAGAGATAAAAAAACGTCCCATCATGAACAAAAGGAAATTGCAACAAAATAAAAAAAATCAAATATCCGAAGAGAGCAACAGAGTAACAAAAAAAAATAAAATTAAAAGACAATTATATGCTGAGAAGGACATATGCGTCATGTGTGGTGAGGCTGGCCGAGACAACGAAATGTGGTTTCGTTGCAGAAATTGTGCCAAGTGGGCTCACGAGCTCTGCACGAGTGTTTCTAGTGCAGTTGATTACATTTGCGAATTTTGCATACATGAATAATCTTATTATTTCAATTTTTGTTTCAATTAAAAATACTTCAAATGTGTTTATTTCCATGAATTTGTTGCTATTCTTTAATGGTCCATTTGGTACTTTACCCGGTCCATCCAGTACACCGCTATTGTACCGAATGGACCACCAAAAAAATTGGAACAACCCACCTTAAAAATTAAATTATAAAAAAATTACGTTATTTGGAAATATTAAAAAAATACCGTCAACTGTGCAAGATAATGACAAATCAAGATCAGTTATTAAAATAGCGATAGCTGATTTTGTTGAGCAAAGAAAAAATATTTAGTGAGCGACAAAAAAAAGCGGTCCATTCGGCCCCCGTCTCCCCTACGTACTGTCACATATTTATATACGCAATCAAACTCATACAAACACACATATAAACACACACAAACAAACACACACGGACACAAATTGACACATAATTGTATACGAAATCAAACACACACACACATACAAAGACACCGAAATAAAATTAATTTTGACAAAATGTTTTATTAAAGGGCATTATTCATGTTTGAATTCTTTGCGCTTCATCACATCTAAGGCCGATGGAGATTTTTTTCAAGACAGCACCATGAATAGCGCCGTGTCTGATTGACTGATTTGCTTTCAGGTTTGTATTTTTTTGAATTTAGAAACCATTTTTTAATTCATTTTTTTCTTTAGAGAAGTATCTGGTCTCTGATCATAGAGGAATAAAATACTTAAAAGTTAATCTCGATAAAAACTGATTCTTTGTTTACTATTATTAATATCATTATTATTGTTATTATTCTACCGTCATAGAAGTTTATAAGATTTAAGAAAACATGTGCGAGAAAATTTATCCCATGGTCCAAATCAGAGTTATTATAACATATTCCTGTCAGTAATATTATTTCATATCTATGCACAATTCAATAAAAATATTTTTTTTTATCTGTGCGAATAATCTGGATGCCATACAAATTTGAGAGAGTTATAATTATATTTAAACATTCTCTTAATTAATAATTACAAATATTTTTTATTTGCAAAGGTTTCCTCCTCTCATCCATTCATTTATCTATCCATCAATCCATTTATCCATCCATCCATCCATCCATCCATCCATCTATCCATCTTTCCATCCATCCTTTTATCCATCCATCCATCCATCTTTCCGTCCATCCATCTGTGAAAGGAGTGAATCATTGTCGTTTGATACCTGTGTTTTATGTGCCTTCAACATACTTGCGCGTATTTACGTACGCTTGAGTAAGTATGCGTGTGTATTTCTGTATGTACAACTGTGTACGTGTATGTATAACTATGTACCCGTGTGTGTGTGGTGTGTGTGTAGGTATGCCTATGTATCCGTGTGTGTGTGTGTGTGTGTGTGTATAACTATGTATCCGTGTGTGTGTGGTGTGTTTGTGTATGTGTCTATGTGCGGTCTCAATGTATGTGAGTGCAGGTTGCGTGTGTTAGTAGAAACAAATACTAAATAAATCCATTTAATTTTACATAGGAGGTGTACATGGAAAGTTATTAACGTTGTACGTTGTGGATGAGAATCATCCACATCATGCACATAAGCAAAATTATTTTTTGTATATGCATAAATATGTATGTATGTATTTTAATGTATATGCATATACATACAAAAACACTTACACACATATATATAAACACGCATACATAATCACACACACACACAAACACACATACTCATACACTTACACACACACACACACACAAACTTTTCTTCGTTATTTAAGGTGCTTGCTTTTAATAACAGCACGCGTATCTACCTTACCTTACCCACCTGATTGTTTATTGTACTTAAGTGTACGTACGTACGTAAACTGCTTTGATGGGCGTTAAATTCTAATATGATAAATCATCTCAGTGATATCTAATGTGTGTTTGTGTGTGTGTTGTGAATTTTTTTTCCCAAAATTTTATTGACATCAAATGCAATCAAGAAGTTGTTATGAAATGAGATCTAATATGATACTGTACCATACAACACGGCACAGAAAAATACCATACAATACAAATACCCCATACAATACAAACTACGGTTGATATACCACAATTTACTATGACCGTCTAACGCATTGCCAGCCATGAATAAAATAATAGCTCCTCTTTCATTAATGTCTAACACAGTTTAAATAACTCAAAAGTATTGGTATTGTTGGCGAAACTTTCAAAAATGGGTATCAATATTGGTGTCTGAATACATTTTAAAGCCGGTACTGATAACTGCACACTACAATAGCACAGAATACAACAGTACGTAATAAAATACCACACAATACAATACAAGCCAGACAATAAATTATCTCTATATAATAAAATTAACTTTTAAATGATCGCAATAAAACAAATGGAGCATGTTAGGAATGAATAAAACAAAAAGATACAAGGCGAAAAAAATTTAATGCTTCATTGAAGTATATACAACCGTGCAAACCGTCAAAAAACTAACAAAACGCAAAGAAATACAAAACGTTAAACGAAAATTAGTAAATACGCAATGAGAAAAATTGGTACGCATTATATTGTATTGTATTTGATTGCTTTGTATAGTATAATATCGTATTGTATTGTATCATATTGTATCGTATCGTATTGTATGTGTTCATCATATTGTGTTGTATCATATCGTATTGTATTGTATCATATTGTATTGTATGTAGTGTATGTATTGTATGTATTGTATTGTGTCAGTAAGAGAGCAGAGTACAAAGAGGTACACACGTGTATTTATTCATTGAGGTTTGATTAAAGGTCTTTGGTGTCAAATATTGCCAGCATCGTAGTCGTGGGTGGTCTTTACGATGATGATGACGACGACGATGATGATGACGACGATGATGATGATGGTGATGGAGATGATGATGGCGATGAAGATGATGATGGCGATGAAGATGATAACACTTGTTATAATTCAATAATAATAATAATAATAATAATAATAATAACAATAACATTAATAATAATAGTAATAATAATTATTATAATAATAATAACTATAATAAAAACAACAATAATAATAAAAAAAATAATAATATCACAACATTAAAAATTAATGCTAATGACAGAACATCTGAAAAAATCGATAAAAAGAAAAATAATAAAATGGTAGATGACGACAGATGACATCAGCAAAGATATAAAAATAACGATAGCAACAACCAGAATGACGTCACAGATGTCGCGTGATGTTTTTTTTAATTGCATCCAAGTATTCGTCGCTATTGTTAAAAATATCTTTGTTTCTAAAAGGCAATTAAATTCAACGTGGAAAATAAAATTAGCATCACATACATGGTTATACATACATACATATATATATATATATATATATATATATATATATATATATATATATATATGTATATATATATATATATTGACGATGATGAAAGTATATATATATATATATATATATATATATATTCTTCCAACATATATATATATATATATATAATTTGACGACATAAAACATGAAATTATAAATTAAAACTAAATCTAACTTTAATAACTTTAACTCTAAATATATATTTCATAATAACTCCAAAAAATTTTCTGCAATTTTCTATGAGCAAGTTACTAGTTTGGAGGTGATCAGCAGAGCAATGAAAAAAATTAAAAGATGGGTAGGTCAGCTACTTAAAATACATTAATGGAATATGTTGAAGTATGTGAGATAAATGTGGAGAAGGACAGGACTATAACCAACCAGATGAACAATCTTAGTGGGATGGATTAATCGCACTTGAATGTGGTGAGTTGAGTATGGAAATGATCTCAAAAACGACGGTCCATCCCGAATTGAAAATTTATTAAAATTTTTTGGAATTTTTATAAAATATTTTACATTAATATTAGATCAATTTTTTTTTATAATTTCACGTTTTTATGATCTTATTGTAACCGCTTGTTTGTTTAGCTGAAAATGAAAGTACATTTTTATCCTGCTGTAATGGAATTATTTGGTTGGATGAAGACATATTTGGAAAATAACTTTTTTGGAGCTTGTAACTGATTGAGGATTGAAGATGCAGTTTGAGAACACTTCAACACTTGCAGCTTTCTGGATCAACACCAGAGTAGAATACCCAGAACTCACGGACAGAGCAATATAATTCTTTTCCTAACTCCTTCCAAATGTGCATTTGTTTACAACTAGTACAGATTAATTATACCTATATTTTTTATATATATAATACATATTGAATTAGATATGTTTATTTTTTATTTGCTCTTATAAGTACGTTTATACTCTTTGATGATGCCGGCATGCCTTCGAAATGGTTTGATACGTGCAATACCTGGTTGCCTGCCTCACGTTACTACGCATCAATTGAGAGGGGTATTTTTGGAATGTCGTGTGGTTGGGAATGCAATGAATTAAATCGGTTTTTGTTGTTGTTTTCGTTGTTATAGTTTAGTTTTATATTAAAAAAGTTAGTTGATTGGCTAATTAAAACTATTGGTTAGCAGCTGTATTTTTGATTGTCTAGATGGTTGGATGTTTTGTTAGTGAGTTGGTTAGTGAGTCGGTCGGTCAGTTGGTTGGTCGGTTAGTTGGTTTGGTTAGTTGGTTGGTTAGTTGGTTGGTTGGTCGGTTAGTTGGTTGGTCGGTCGGTTGGTTGGTTGGTCGGTCGGTTGGTTGGTTAGTTGGTTGGTTAGTTGGTTGGTTGATCGGTTAGTGTGTCGGTCGGTTGGTCGGTTAGTTGGTCGGTCGGTTGGTCGGTCGGTTGGTTGGTTGGTTAGTTGGTTGGTCGGTTAGTTGGTCGGTCGGTTGGTCGGTTGGTCGGTTGGTTGGTTGGTTAGTTGGTTGGTCGGTTAGTTGGTCGGTCGGTTGGTCGGTTGGTTGGTTATTGATATTTTTTAAAACTCCTGGATAATAATTTTAATTAGAAAACTTTTTTAATTAGCGGAACATTTGCAACTTTATACCTTTTAATTAATTTAATACTCGTTGGAGGCAATTTAATTTTTTTCCG